AAATCCTCGCAAATTTGCTAGACAGTTTTTTTGAATTGTTAATTAGAAAATATTCTACTGATGCAGTTCCACATAAAAACGCTAGGTCAAAAAAGTCAATTACGGGGATTTTTTCGCTAATTTTTTTCTCCTGAGTGGTATGAGAGTTATTTCTCAGGTTGCATTTTAATGGTTTAAATGAGAACATTGCTGAAACTTGAAAAAGTAAGAATTCATTTTCTTCGTATATCTATCAAAAACGTCGTTTTTCACGTTTTTAGCTTAGAAATGCCCCTTGTACCACAGTTTTCATCCGATTTCAACTTTTTTTTTTTTTAATGTTTGCTATACTCCAACGAACAAACCCAAGTATCCGTTTTGCTTTATATTTATCAGATAATGAGAAAATGATTTTTTTAGGTTTTATTTCTTTCCCTCTTTTTAGCAAATGCTAAAACTAGTTGTTTTTCGTTATTCCGCGTTGTAATCATACGTAATCGAAATATTGTAACAAAAAAAATGGGTGGAAAACAACGAATTTTAGCATTTGCTAAAAAGAGGAAAAAAAAATGTAACGTGACATTTTCGTATGGGGGTTAAAAATGCCTATTACCTTCGCCCTTCTTCCCCTTCATCTAGTCAAACTCAAAAATACAAAAATCTATAGGCGCCAGGTAATTTTTAGCCGGAATTACCAAACCGGATGATTCTACAAAACCAATTCTAATTGATTCCAAAACCTCAAAAATTTACACAAAAAGGGAGAAAACTAGATTTCTGGGGAAAGGTAACGGTCCTGGGTTCGCTCAGTGTGCTAGGTTGTGGAGAGAGGGGTGGATTTCAGGTGGAGACGGGTATTGGGTGGCCAAAACTACAAAAAAAGGAAAAGAAATCAACATCGTTCTTACGTGTTTCACTATTGAAATATGAGAATCACCAATTTTTCAAAAAAAAGACATTTCAATTCTCTCAAAAAAATATTTAAAAAAAAGAAAAAAAATCTACAATTAATAACTAACAATACTGACAATAATATTAATCATAATATTAATTCCGCACTCTGACAGGAAATAGTCTAATCTGACAAAAATATTCTAAGAAATTAATATCACCCATAAATACCTCAAATATGCCGAAATAAACATTTGGGGAGAGTAGAAATACACGCTAATCCCTAAATACTCGAGAATTCCGAGAATTGGGGGGAAAGGTATGCGAGCGACAATGGGAGCGAGAGAGAGGAGAACGTATTCATCCATCGATTTTTCGTACCAGCCAGAACGGCTGAAATTCCGTAAAACTCAACTTGCCATAACTCGAAAATGACAGAGTCAAAAATTACGAACCCTGAGACAAAATGTCCGGGAGAGTCTACCGAAGACAACAATACCCAAAAAATAATTTTCCCTCAATAATTAGCCGCGTCAGGTTAATTAATCCCCGAGCGGAATTCTAAACGCTGAAATACCCGCGTGAATCGAGAATAGCCACGTGTAAACATGGATGGGTATCTGAGGTGAGTCGAGAGTCGGGGGGAATTCCCCCTCGAGAAACACGGCATACACGCCAGCGAGAATGGGCTGGAAATCCATTTAAAAAAAACCAAAAATGGAATATCCGGAAATCGGCAGAGCGAATTTTCGGAAACCCTGAGATGAATTACTTAGGGAAGCCCCCCGAACACATTGACCCACAAACACTAATTTTAATTAACTATCTACGCGAACCAACTCAATTCGAACACGAGTGGAATTTCTTACGCGCAAAAACCCACGTATAACGGGAATGGACGCACTGTGGCAATTAAACGTGAGTGNCACCCAATCATGAGTGAAAAAAAAAGGGGGATCGGCACCTCATAACTTGGATTAAGCGTCACAATCACCGTTTTACCGGAATAAAATGCGACGTACGGGGCTAAAGACCCCGTGGTCGAATAACGAAAAGCCAAGATGAATTCGGAAAAATACATAAACCGAACTAAAAACTCACGATTTTCCTGTGTTTAGAGGTCCTCTTCCCTTTTCGGACCATCCTGGATCGGTACGGCTCCTCCAAAAGGTATAATAATCCACGTGGCACAATTACGTTGCGTGGACACACTCAAAATTTCGTACGTGACTAATGGTCGACGACGGTCAACGCGGAACTAACTGCCCTGGGTCAGTGTCATGGGCACTAACCGCAGCGCGAATTCTGGCCAACAGAGACGGGCTCTGATTAGCGGAGATTTTCGGCACATCAAGCGTTGGCTTTGTTGGCGCCACCAAATGCTTTTGGGGAATTCAAACGCGACAAATACTCAACTCTAATTTCTCTATACGTAACTTTATAAAATTGACTAATGATTAACCTGGGCCGAACTGGTGGGCGTTCGGAAAATTACTAAGGGTTTTTGGCGCCTCCTACGGGTCGGTTCTCCTGGATTCACGGGGTTAAAAGACCGATACTACTAACTAATTCTCCTAATTTTTCAAAGCTCTAAGCAACCTGGCAATTCACGGGATAAAAGGATTGCACGTGTTCCTCGTGACCTTCCACCGAAAATCTAAAACGTAACCATCTAACCACCGTAAAATCCATTATAATTTGGAGCGCCGGCATTTCAGCCAGACCTAATCGATTTGCCGTAGGATTAACAATAGGGTGGCTCCCGTAAGAATTATCGGATGACTCATAACTTGGCCCTTCTTCGCGATAATCTCATGGGCCCTCAAAAACGCGTAATTACTCCGGTCTTGAGATCAAACAAATGATATTATGGAATTAAAACACAAATTTAGCCACACCATGACGTGGAAACCCCCAAACCTCATGGTCGTCACGAGGATTGGACTTCTGACCACCCCGGGGTGGAAAAGTGAAACGCTCTCTCTCGCTACCTTTTACTCACGGGTCGCCTTCCTATGTCACGGGGGGGTTAGTTGTTTTGATGGCAGCATCGTGTCCTAACGAACATCCCCACATGTTCGTTACAAAAATAAAAAGTAAAAAAAACATCTTCTCATCATCTAATAAATATAAAGTAAAACGGATACTTGGGTTTTTTCGTTGGAGTATAACGAACATTAAAAAAAAAAAAGTTGTAATCGGATGAAAACTGTGGTTCAAGGAGCCTTTTTAAGCTAAAAACGTGAAAAATGACGTTTTTGGTGGATATACGGGGCAAAACGGTTCGAGTCCGAAATTTTTCTTTTTGGATTATGGGGTTTAAAAAAATAACAAACACCTTTTATCTATGTGAACACTTTAATTGAAAAATCTCTAAGACTCTACACAGTCAGGAGGTAGTTGACACTATGAATATCTACGAGAGACTGAAAGATAGTTGCTAGTGAGGCCCAGGGCTAATATAGACCTAGGAGGGCAATATAATTTCCACCCCCTGAAGCAAACGCTTGGACTTTCCTCTTGACCCGCCTGGTCGCCAGGTGTACTTGTGGGAAAAACCCACATTTGGGTAAAACCCCTCATTAAAAGTCTCGAGAGGACTTTTCCCCCATTTTACACTCTCAGGGAAGACCCCATAGCAACATAAAGCAATAAACTTTTTCTTAACATAAAAGAACTTGGGAGAGTGAATTTTGGTCTTGGGGAAAACCCCGAAATCCAACATTTCTCACTTTTATATATATCCCTTCATATATCAAAAGTCATCCCATGGCTGTTGAGGCCGAGTCAACACTTTCGAATTTCATCGCGGTCTCCCCTTAAAAAAATTTTTTTTGAATGTTGTTTAAAACTTCAGAAATTCCTCGAATATTTTGAAAAACTCAAATTTTATTCAAATTTCCAGAACACCTAAGAATTTTATTCAATTTTTTAGCAATTCCGGGAATTTCTTCAGAGTTTCTAGAAATTCCTTGAATTCACTTAAAATTTCCAGAAACTCCCTGATTTTTCTCGAAATTTCTAGAATCTTCTTGCATTTCCTTGAATTTTCTAGAAACTCCTTAAATTTTCTCGTAATTAGCTCTTTTGTTTCGCATAAATTCAATCCTGATAATTTAGTAATGGTAATTATGCTGTATTTTCTGTTTTACTTTATTTTTATTTAATTATTGTAAGTCATGGATTGAAGTGTAAAATCTCCCTGTATAATGGTACCATGTACCAGACGCAGGTAAATAAATTATTATTATTATTATTAATTTTCTCGAAATTTCTAGAAACTCCATGCATTTTCTTGAATTTTTTAAAAATTTCTTGAACATTTTAGAATTTTTAGAAACTCCTTGAATTCTTTCGAAATTTCTAGAAACTCCCTGAAGTCCCTTGAATTTTCTAGAAAAATCTAGACCTGTAAGCTCAATTTCACAAAACGACTCCTCATAACGAAAACAGACGTATCCTCATCAAAATTTCTCCCTTATGTGTAAATCATGCCAAATCTGTGCGGAAAGTACGCATAGATGTGCAGATAATCCGCAGATTTGCACATAAGAGAGTGAATTCGGCTTATGTGTGAATCCCGCATAACTATGCAGATTATCCGCATAAGTGTGCAGATAATCTGCACAGCGTTTTCTGTGTGTATAATTCGAGTTGAATGGGAAATCTGATGAGCATAAACAGTTAATATATTGTTTTTCTAAATAGTCCCCACTCTGGATATGATGATTTCACTGTGCAATATTTCTCTCTTTGATGTCATTGTAAAATGCTACTGTTGTATCGTTTTACAGAGTAGGATAATATTGTTTGATCTCTAAAGATATCTAAAAGTGCATTGGGAGAACCATACGCTCTCTTTTCAAGATAACAAATGTGAAATTCATTCAACGCTTCCTGTGAGGAAAGTTGGCGTATAAGTCACACTCCGTGTTCGCTATAGGTATTCGATGCAAAGAATACGTTCGAGGATCCGATCCGAAATTCATGTACAATTATTTTAATTCCATGTGAAAGAAAATCTACATGAAAATCCATAATTTTTTGGCAGAAGTAATTTTTTCTATACATGAACAATCTGACTAATTGATGAATAATTTATGATATTTCCATTTTGATTTTTTAATAAGGCATTGATACCGCACTGCCAAAACTCGATGGTTTCAACATGTGGCCAGTGATAGCCGACAACAAAGAAAACCCACGTACTGAAGTTCTTATCAACATCGATGAAAAATTTAATTACTCAGTAATAAGAAGTGGTGATTATAAATATCTTATCGGGAATCCCGGACGTGCCAGCGGTTGGTACGGAAATTCAAGTGCATCAGAGGATATTATAGTCGATTATGATTCAGAGGATGTCTTGAGGTCCAAAACTGGGGCTGCTATAACTGGATTGATAACAGAGATGCAGATTTCAAATTCAAGCAATCACGCCAAACTTTTGACGTCCAGTAAAATCAAACATCTCAGATCTGGAGCAATTCTCCATTGTCATGTAGAAGAGAACCGAAAGGTTTGTATCAAAATTAATGTTTTGTAAATTGCATGGTTCGATGGCTAAATCAATTCCAAAAATGTGGAAAATTCCAGTTCGACTTGTCGATGAGTTTTTCAAAAAGGGCGATTAATTTTTAAATAATTTTCAACAAATATCTCAAAAACAATTCAATCGATTTCAATCATTTTTTTATATCCGTCTCAATATCGTTCATCTCAATCAAAATTTATGTACCCATTCATATAATTTTCGATATATTTCTGTTTTCCATTTGAAATCCTGGTATCCATTTTATAATAACTTGAAAAAATCAGGGCATTATTTGAGAAATTGGCACGAAGTTTTCTATCATCATTGCAGCGTTTCGTATTGAAGATTCGATAAATTAAATGGTTACATGTAGAGGAATTCAATTTTGTATGTAAAATCTTTTTTATTCAATATCTCAAAAACTACTCAACTGATTTCAATTTTATTTTCACGATATTTGTCACGATATTTTCTATCTCAATTAATCTAAGCTTGCAAAATATTGTTCTTTGCAATTTTCTGCTAATTTTTATGAAACTATGTTGGTGACTCTGGTTGGTCCCATTAGGGATATCAATGCGAACAACCAAAACGGGATTATTTTCCAGCCCTTAATGCTCTGAATGCAAACTTCTGGGAAATCCTGTCGGTGCAGCGGAAGAGAGGGAAGGGCCAATAACGTGCGTGTGCGAGTACGTTACATCGCGAAAAGGCTCCCCACTTTCGCGGGCCCAGAGGGTGGTACATAGTTCACAGGGTATGGGGGTTTACATTGAAACATTGTCCGTGTTTATTTTGGTGTCAGTGTTTTCATCCATTCACCGTGTGTTACGTTGTTGACTCAAACAGCCCCGTGTTTATTTACTATGATTTTCACAGGAATGGCATGAAAAGACCACCTCAACCAATTTTTTTTGTGATACCTGCCTCAAAAGTTCACTTTTCGAAACGGTTTAGTGTGCGTAAAGTGTGTAAAGGATTTTTGCCGGTGCTCCACCAGCAAATATCCCAATCTATTTTGGGCATCTCCTCTATCGCTCAATTAAGTCGGGCGCCAGCTGGATTTTCACGGAAAATCCAACGGTAATCCGGCCTCAGAGGATAACTCTTCTACCCTGAGGACTTTTCGTGGCGGGGCTAACAATGCCGAGCCAGCATCAGCGTAAAACGGTAGAGTGGACGAGGTTNCTCAATTAAGTCGGGCGCCAGCTGGATTTTCACGGAAAATCCAACGGTAATCCGGCCTCAGAGGATAACTCTTCTACCCTGAGGACTTTTCGTGGCGGGGCTAACAATGCCGAGCCAGCATCAGCGTAAAACGGTAGAGTGGACGAGGTTTACCATACTAGGAGTATTTCACTCGATCGATCCTCGTCTTTTCAGCCGAGAGACTTCGATTAAGCGTATCTTCCAGGAGCTATTCCTCCATGTATCTTTCGCCGAGGATGTTTCCATTCCTCTGACGTATTTCTTTCCTCTCCAGAGTGGCTCAACTCTGGAGAAGTCGATCATCACTTGCGAATCCTTCTCACTCCTCGGAGCGCCGAACACTGAGAGGTACATGCGACACAGGTATCCGGAGACTTGTTCTCACCCACCTATGCCCACCCCAACTCAACCTCAATGCTCGGTAAAAGCACTATCATCGCGGGCCAACACCCAGAGTACTCGTCATGGAGGTACGTACGATCGGGCCTCCAGGAGTCGGCCTACTCCCGGCCCACGGATCCACGCCAACACCACTTCTTTCGTCCGAAGTGATAGATCCCTGAGAACATAGAATTAAAACACTCCACGTCCTCAAAGTAATCCGATCCTTCTGTTTGGGCCGCCGAAGCGTCCCATTCTCTCGCTGTTCCGGACCTTGTCCTCACAACGGACCCCCATAATCCATAATGGACTAATGCCACTTACAACCGTAGTCGAGGACCGGACGATTTACATCCGCTCGACTCCAGTGCCTGTCACCGACTGTCTCGAAATCTCCTAGGGCCTTCTCCCCCTAGTCTGAACATCTCAGCGGCGGTGGGTCATCCGTTATCCCACCACCACCAATCAGTTCGACGGCAATCGAGGGGGCGCTAGTCTTCTCACCTAGCCGTTGGTCCCTAGTCTAAGTCGATAGCGCCTTTAGAATCGCCCAGTTGGAACGCCAGTACGTTGGCCCGTTTCCCCCAAACACAGCTG